GTATTTCGGTATTTTATACACTGCTTCCGTTTATTCTGGTTCCTTGTCCTTTAGTGGTTCCTATAAAAGTGCGCAGGACACCAGTGTACGCATCCATTTTCAATTAGAATACTAGTACTTTGGCTTTTATCGTTATCTTGTAATTCGAAAAATTGAGGTGTTTCAATTCAGTACTGCCGACGAAAGTTTTCAAAACCACCACTGTCTAGCAGGTACTCACGTTATCGTAAGGCCCGCTTTGCGAGCCAGCCTTTCGGGCCAGCTCTTCGAGCTCACGCAGGTATACATAAATGGAGAATAAAGCATGCATTAACGGATATATTTTTAATATGTATGATTCAGAGCACAACGTACACAGAGCTTAATGCAGTTTGACCTTTCCTGTAGTTTTTTACTTAAACTGACGTGTCACTAGACTGAGCAAGCAATGGTTTCTGTGACGGTAAGATTTAGTTGTACAACTCTGATTAGAGATAAGATGTACAATTTTCAAAGCAATACAACACTTGCATTCAGACGGTAATTCTGCATTGTAGGAATCATATCAGGTTTCTCTAAAAAAAAATTTCCTCCCAATTGATCCCTAACATACTTTACTCGCTAAATATTTTTTCTCTCCATGAGTAATGATTGAAACACCTCCATGTTTTTTTTGTTGTTTTTTTTTGTTGTTTTTTTATATAAATTGTTAAAATTTTATTTTCTATAATGTACAGCCTGATCGAGTCTCAAACCTGGGACCCTCGGAATACGCACTGCGATACTACTGACTGAGCTATCCGTCGCCTACAAACTACTCCCCCCTCCCTCCCCTGATTAGAGAACATTTCAATACCGTGACAAAATTATTTTCGGACCAATTTGGGATTCGAACATACAATACTTTGGGTCTCCTGAAGAGCTTTTCAACATCAGCTTTACCCCATCTTTCTACTATGTTTACATTTCTGGAATTTCATTCATTACACCCATTATTAGGAGATAATTCGGTTATCTGTTACTTGTCATTGTGGGAGGTATGTAGAAATCTGTAGGATTTCAAAATAGAACATGTTCTAACGAAACGCAGAAAAGCCTGCCGGAACGGGCGATAAATGCGTCCATGTGCTTTTCAGATGTTAATTCACGAAATGAAAACCGCTGTTTTGCGTGCTCAAAAAGTTTAGATACGACGCGACAAAATATGCTATGTGCTGTTATCCTGTTAAACTATCTAGTAGACATGACAAAATTGACATATTTCTACGAAATACTGAAAACTGCGCAGTGGTACCTTTAGTAGGATGTGCCGGTGACAAGTTGTGTATCGTCTTTCAAAAACAAATTAGCATATAAAGAGCGCTTTATTAACAGATGTCATCGATTATTAACAAGAGCCCGGTTTGAGCCGGGTGATGCTCCCCGAATAGGTTTTGGACACAGGAAAGTACACCTCTTGTAGTTTCAGAGTTATGTCCCTGGAAAAAGTTCAAAGTGCAATAATTCCAAAATTAGCAAAGGCAAAGTTACTGTTCTTTCCACTGCACTTCTAATCACTGTTATCTATCAACTTACAAAGTTTCTTGTTGATATCTCTTATGGTTTCCGAGTTACGTTCCAGACACATTCAAAAAGTAAAAATAAACAAATGGCAATAACTCCAGAATTAGGCAAGGCAGAGTTATGATTCTCGCACACTGCACATCTTCCCATTGAGATACATCTACCTACAAAGTTTCATGTTGATATCTCTTATAGTTTTACAGCTATGTCCAGTACAAGATTTTTCTAAAAGGGGAGATAATTCAAAAATGAGGCTTAACAGAGTTATGGTTTCTTTGCATTGCATTTCTACTCAATGAGATCTATCTACCTACAATGTTTCATCTTGATATCTCTTATAATTTTAGAGTTATGTTCCAGACAAAGTTCAGTGTTAAAATTAACAAAAGGCAATAACTCCAAAATAAGGACAAAAAGAGTTATTGTTCTTATGCACTGCACATCTACCCATTGAGATCTATTCACCTACAAAGTTTCATGTTGATATCTCTAATAGTTTTACAGCTATGTCCAGTACAAGATTTTTCTAAAAGGGGAGATAATTCAAAAATGAGGCTTAACAGAGTTATGGTTTCTTTGCATTGCATTTCTACACAATGAGATCTATCTACCTACAATGTTTCATCTTGATATCTCTTATAATTTTAGAGTTATGTTCCAAAGTTCAGTGTTAAAATTAACAAAAGGCAATAACTCTAAAATAAGGACAAAAAGAGTTATTGTTCTTATGCACTGCACATCTACCCATTGAGATCTATTCACCTACAAAGTTTCATGTTGATATCTCTTATAGTTTTAGAGTTATGCCCCGGACAAGATTTTTCTATAAGGGGAGATAATTCAAAAATGAGGCTTAACAGAGTTATGGTTCTTTCGCTTTGCACTTCTACTCAATAAAATCTATCTACCTACTATGTTTCATCTTGATATCTCTTATAGTTTTAGAGTTATGTTCCGGACAAAGTTCAAAGTTTTGAAATTAACAAAGGGCAGTAACTCTAAAATTAGGGAAAAAAGAGTTATTGGTCTTATGCACTGCACATCTATCCATTGAGATCTATTCACCTACAAAGTTTCATGTTAATATCTCTTATAGTTTTAGAGTTATGGCCCGGACAAGATTTTTCTAAAAGGGGAGATAATTCAAAAACCGTGCAAAATAGAGTTATGGTTCTTTGACACTGCACTCCCCCTCAATGCCCTCTACCACTGTATGAAGTTTAAACAAATTATCTCCAAGGGTTTTCAAGTTATGCTCCGGACAAGAAAACGGACGGACAGACGGACAGACTGACGGACGGACAGACGGACAAGGCACCGACTATATGCTCCCCGAAATTTTTCGGGGAGCATAAAAATCAAATTATGGCTACTGAGCCTGCTGTCATGCTTATTTACAATAGCTCATTATACAGAGCTGTGTTTATATGGAGTATCCTTTCACAGGTACAGTTTGATAGTTGCTACATGTATTCTAGGGTTGCTTATAATTTAATATATTCCCAACAGTGATTTTATTGCTAAATAAAATCACTGTGCGGGGATGCCCGAATGAAACATGAATAATACTGCAGATCTAAACAAAAATGTTTTTATAAAGCGATAAAATCAGTGCTTTTATTTCGATTCTAATACAAAATGCTGCCGTCACTGATTATGAAGCGAAATTGTGCCTAATTTGTCTATGTTCTTATTTGCAGCGCGTCGTTCTTTTAATGATTATGTCACATGTTTAAATATAGATCGTCAACAATGGTTTTATTCCATATTTTCGTCCTTCTATGTTAAATAAGAAATATAGCATATATAGTGGTGATGAAACGTCACTGCAGTGGGCGTTACCCTGTACGGTTGGAAATTTCGGGTTTGTAAGTACACTAGTTGGCAACTAAAAATGCAGGTCGAGTTAGAACATTTTTTCTTTACGTAAAGGAAACGAGAGATAATCACAGCACAGATCATTGTACTATATCATACTGATTAAGTCCCTTAATAGTCCAGTCATTTTGTGAAAAAATACTTCAGAAAAAGGGAAAAGCACCAAACTTTGTACAAATGAACTTTGATATATATTTAAGAAAAATTGAGTTACATATTGAGTTACACCGATTATTCACAATATCTAAAATCACAACATCTTTATGACCATCATCAGTAGTCAAATATTTCATATCATTCAGGTATATAAAAGCAATGGTTTGAGTGAAAGATTTTTTGTCGACTTATTTGTTGATAAATAGTAAGAAGTATACAGTTGTTTCTAGTCCATTTACTTGTAAATATGGAGACTATGTGTTCCTTCACCTAAGCTCACTTCACCAGAGATGCGCTTCTCCCATAAATATAATATATGAACTCATTTATACATTATAATTATTATCATTAACTTATTACTATAAGGGAAATACATATTACATATTTACTTTGCGCATTTTTCAAGTTTTCAGATTTTTAACTGTCATGTTTTTAGTATGAACAACACAACATTTACTTGCACCGTATAAGTTTCAGCATCTGAGGTTTAGTTTGACATGTTCTGTGACAATGCCTATACACAAAATAAAAAGACAATAACGACTTCGAACATATTAATAATATCTGCCATATGTTGCGGTTGCGATCGGAATATCCGTCCGAGGCTTGCTGAGTTACTGCTCATGGGCGGGTGACCGAGGGATGAATATTCCGATCCGAATCGCAAACATATGTCAGATATCTTTTCTTGCATATTCTACCATATTCCATTATATTTTTAATTCTTTATCTTTAATTTCAATAGAAATTTATATCATTACATCCGTAACTATTTTCTTACAACAGTGTATGAATAACATCTTCATTCATAACGGTAAAATGACGTCATCATAAGCGTGCCATTGCACAGCATGCGACTCATCTGGCACCCCCTATGCCAGATGAAATTTACGGCATGGGTAAAACTCACGGAAACGTCAGTATGATATGCAAGAATATAAAGGTTATCGTATATGCACTGAAATGACGAAAGTTTCTTGTAAATAGGCATGCGAAACTGTAAATGTTACGTAAATGAAATGACATTGATGTTGTTTTAGTACAAAACAAACGATGGGATGTCCTACTGATGAGACTTACAATTAGCACATTACGTCCGCTCCGAAGGAGCCCCATCGCATATTCCTCCGATCAAAAATATTCAATCTGTGTGCTTCTATTATTTTATATTCGGGATATTATAGATGTTTTCAAACAAGCCAAGAAGCTGTGACGATTGAACACGTTACCGTCGGCTATGACATACTTTAAGCATTTTGATCGGCAATTGGCTCAATTCGCTCAGTGACCGAAACGCTTAGAATTTTATCACCGTCAAAATGAGGAACGTGTACTTAAGTCCACTAAAATGTCATTCATATGCGGCTAATAAATGAGAATTTGAAGAAAGGATAGAACATAGAATTTATTCATACTAATCATTTAATATGATAATAAATATATTTTGTACCATAATATAAATGCATATTATCATTTCTAATCAACCCTTGATATACATCACTTTTCAACATTTGTAAATACCCAATAGGATCAATGGTGTTAAATGTTGCACATACTATTTACAAACAAACATAGTCAGAATGCCATGGGTGTTGACCTTATCATGCTCAATGACCCAGTCATTAAGTTCCTTCTTATCCTTTAATGACTGCAAGGTTTGCATTACATCATTCAATTCTTCATCAGTAGCGCATGCCCAGTAAGAGTCGCATTCTCTCCAAGCCTTTTGGTAAGGACCATCTAGATTTAGATAGTCGTCTAGAATAGTTCCAAGAAGTCTCAGCTTCTGGGTGCATTGAAATCCTGTGCGATCAAATATATCTTGGTACTGCTTGCAGGATGCAAATTTTGTGACATATTTCTTAGTGATGTCATTGTTGATTTGGCAATACCAGGTGTTTCTAATATCATCTTCGGACTGTGCAATGATGATAAGGACGCCGTTGTTCCGAAGAACACGTCTGGCTTCAGCAATAGTTTGCTCCATTTCGTTGAATGGCCTTTCCTCGTCTTTCAATCCATCAGACCTCGGATTCAAATGATGCAACACCTGGTATTAAATGTAAAATATGATAAACAAGATCAACATGGAAAAACGGCGTTTAATGAACGCAACCCCCACACGACCATGCAATAAGAACCAGTGGCAAGGAGCCCAGGTGGACCCCAAACAAAAACATCAAAGGGTGCAAGGCAGAGTAAACCATGTTCTGTACAGGTAGTGGCATATTTTGTATGGAACATTTGCGAATAAATTACTTTGAACTAATAATTTAACAAGAAGTATTTAGTATAATGAACGTTTTTGTCGTGTATCTAGTACAAACGGCACATGTGTAAATATGGTTTCATACAAACAAACTCAAATGTTGCCTTAAAATATCTTAAAATACTTACTAGACTGAAAAGAACGGCATCAAATGAGTCATCTTCAAAAGGTATTTTTGGAAGTTTATTCTGTACAATGCTGATTACTATTTTGTCATCTATGGCATTAACTAGTTTTTTCTTAGCTTGTTCTAGCATTCCACCGGACGCATCCATCAATGTTACTTTTCCAACTCCATATTCGATGAGAGCTTTGGAGTAATTACCCGTTCCACAACCAGCATCAAGAATATGGAGGTCCTGTTAATGAAGGTCAGTTGAAAGTAAGCCACATTAGATAGATAATCAGAAAATTAGAACATGTGTAAAGAAATTAAACGAGATGACAATTATTAACTTGTGACACATGACCTTTCTGTTTTCTGTACCGAAGTACTATTTAAGTTAAGTCGGGAAAAACAAAAAAAAACAAAACAAAAAAAAATCAAACAAAAACAGCAACATTGTATACATTGATTGTCAGTTTAGTTCATTCTTTCAGCAAATCAAATCTATAAAATATGGCCTTACATCTTTATAAACATTAATATGAAACGTTTATTCAGATTTACAAAGAAATAACATCTTTATGTTTATGTCTATCATTTGAAGATTGTTTCTCTGTTTGTTTCATACCTTAAGCTGTTTTCCGATATTCAATCTTAGCATTTCTACAACTAAGTCAGCACCTAATGGTTTTCTTTGGTTGTCATAACTGGCACATGTCGTGTTGTAGTCTTCGAAAGCGCTCATCCTGAAAAGAATAAAAGGTAAACATACTAGATATAGTCTGCATTTACTTTGCCCGAAGTTTTGTTTTTGTTTTCATAACCTTTATTGGAATACCCCCTATTTGTTCATATTTGATTTTATACTACTCCAAATTGTGTGTTAAACATGTGCTTATGCCCAGATAAACCAGCACGAACCTTTACACAAATCATGACTTGAATTACTAGAGCAGATATAGTAATGTGGTGCTCATACAAAATGCTTTACAACCATAAGAAATTTTTTATACAATTGCATGTTAGGTGGCTGTTTATATTTGAATTTCGGTTCCGTTTTTGCTTTTTACGAAAGCATATCTATGGATATTATCGACTTGTGTTCCTTTTCATATAATCATTTCCTTTTCATATAATCATTTCCTTTTCATATAATCATTTATTTTTTATTAAAAATTGTAGCAAAAATGCATCAGCTACATCTTTACCTATTAGTTTACAGTAAGTGTAAATATAGGAAACAAAATACCCAAAACTTTCACATACATTTCATATGTTACATGCACTAACTTAAAGGCATACTTTAAAGATCATTGAGTGTATACCACTCCTACGTGACATTATATTATGTATATAATTATGCTAAAACAACAATTTTCAAACATCGAAGAATATATAAAATATGTACTGCAAATATTTGTACATATTAAATGTAATTATTTAATTATATGCTTTCATTTCTTATTGGGAAATTTGACTAAGAATTAACAGAAATGTTTTTTATTACCTCCCTTTATTTACTTGAAATATTAAATTCGGTAATATCTTTATAAATAATGCTTTTTGGAACTTAAAATATTGATAAATCTTAATTTGAGCATCATATTTTTTATATAAAACCATGAAAAAAATGTGTTACGGGATCTTTAAGACACATTGCAAATACCGATAATTATTATACACTTAATTATATAGGAACTTTCATTGATGCGATAACTATGTACAATTTTCTCATTTAAAAGTGATGGAAATTCCTTTATTTATTTTTGTCGTTTATATTACTTTTTTTTTGCTATGTTCAGGTAAATATTTTACGATCAAACATTCATTTATTTTGCTTCTATATTTGATGAACCTGAAACAGCTGCTGAAAAAAAATAAAGTTGCAGGTATAAAATATCGAAAGTAACATATGTTTGAATGATTGTCTGAAAAATTCAAAGTTAAAAAAGAAATCAAAATCCGTCTATTTGACAAAATATAGTTAAAACGTCATCTTAATTTGAAATCCCTTGCGTTTCGAAATATTTCATATTGTTACTGAGAAACGACTACTAAAGCTTTCTTTCCGCTTTGTTCTACTTTGATTATTTACATGTGACCTTATATTCTGAAATATAGCTCTGAAAGGGCTTTTACATATAAAATAGTATTGTATAAGAAATGTTCGAAATCGATAACTAATTTATCCACTTATGCAATTACACATGTGGCAACCCAATTTCAACAAGCTGGTTTAGCTATTTCAATACTCAAAACAAAATTATACATTTTACAACCGCTGATATTTTGAATCAAAGCATTACATAATGATAAATTACCAACCTTTAAAATATTTTGACTTGGATCCACTGACTACACTGTTCCGAACTAAAAATAATTTATTTATTTAATTTGTAATAATCTATTTTCTATTACATAAGTTTTAAATAAATAAATAAATTTTAACTAACTTAGAGGTGCAAACTCTTTTACATATATGCGTTCTTTGTATTAAATCGAAACATAAATAAAAAACCAAAACCAATTCGGAAATGTTACTCTAGCATAAAAGGGAAGTTACTGTGACATTGACTTTTTTTTAAATTTTTTTCATTTATAAACAAAAATTCATGACCCATCAGGGCATAAAAGTGAACAAACAAACATTTCAATGCTAGTAAAATTGCTTCCTCCTGTGTCATTGTTGTTGTTACATCCGGTAACTTGCGACAAAAGGCTTTTTGTTGTTGTTTTTTTAGTTTTATTTTAGTATCAATATTCAGTCGGAGCAGTATTGTTAGTGACGTCAGCGCATGGAGTCCAAGTCATTTTATTTTGTTAGGATAAAAGCATAAAATGACAATTCATAATTATGAAATGAACTTATGTAAAATATCAGCGGTTGTATAAGGTGCAATTTTTGTTTAACCCATTACTTCATGAGCATTTTGTGAAAAATGGCTGTTTTCATTGAAAAGTCTCCCGTTACAAGTTCAAATTGCTATAATACTATAAAAACTGCTTCAACACTAATCAAACTTGGCACAAATGTTGACTGGACCATTGCCCTTGCAACAACATGCTCAGGCTTAAATTTTCTGTTACCATGGCAACGAGGGGACATCTCAAAATTGCCAAAAATCACTATTTTGCGTTTATTTTTTCCATCAAAATTGATTTCAAAGTGCTGCAACTTCTCAATGGATTGAGATAGGATCAAATGCTTTTCAGCGTTGGTTACACGTTACCTTATGATCAATCTGGGGTCATTTACAGCCTCTCACAAGTCCAAAATTTTCTTGGCGATGAGGGGGACTCCGCCCCCTTTCACACCCCCCCCCCCAAACAGAAGGGGGCACACCCCCCTTCTGGCAACCCCCTGATGTATCTTTTGGTTGGGGTGCCGCGCCGAATAAAAGGTCACTTTTTTTAACAACATTTCTCAAACAAAAACAAGTTTGTTGCCTTTGATGTGAAATTCGCGTAAAGATGTATCGGGTTGTTAAAAGGTATTGCATTCCTTGTGTTTATCTATTATAGATCTGGGGCTTTTCAATTTATTTCTTATTTATTTGAGTATATATACCAATGATTGATAGAATGTCAAGCTCTTTGTTTTCAATCTATAAAGGTTTTACATTTTTCCGCATTAAGTCAATTGATATCACACATTCTAACTTATTAAAAAGGTTAACGTAATATTGTGTCTTGGATGAGATCTTTAAATGGGCGATGTTTTTTTTACATGCCTACAGCATAATAGCTAGCTTTAGTGCGCTGAGATATTTTTAATTAAGATAAATTGATGTCAAATTTCTTAAAAAACAATCCACGTTAGTAGATTTATTTCAGCTTTACTAATATCACTTCGATATCAAAATAAAATGATAAATCACAATTCAAATAACTTAATTGTTCATTTATAGAAGAATCTTTTAAAATGCTATTATTGTATATATATTTTTAAAAAAGTTACAGCAGTTATAAAGCCTAATCAGAAATCACTTGACATCAATAATTATCTTAACACTACTTAAATAAGTTCCCATAGTTTTGTAACAACATAATGATGTTTAAAAAGATAGCAATTATAACAAAAATACAAAAATAGATAAACTTTAGTAAATTCTTACCTTAAAAAATCAAGCACTCAACACAAATAGCAAAAAATGTATAAAAGTCAATATTTATCACCATCTGTTTTTGAACAGTTTAATTAATGTGTCAAGATACATCAATATTATAATGAAGATGTTTATCATTTTGTTAGATACTCACATGTGTATAGGCCATGTATCTGCTGCTTGTAGTTAACAGAAGTTTTGCTTTATTAAATATGTATGAAGGAAATATGTTGTTTTTTTAATTCCATTTAAAGCGAATGATGCATGACACGAAATCATTGTTAAAAAGTTTAAAGATTGCAAAAAAAGATAATTTTGTTCGAGAATATATTTTATAATAAATAGCATAGAAATTTGTTTCCGTTTTATTAACGATACAATACTTGAGATTATCAATGACCTAAATTTCATATTTTGGCAGTAATGAATATACAAAAAAGCACGATCACTTGATAATGAAGAGTAGAAAAGCAAAGCATCTTCTATATAAACGTTTATACATGCACATTAACCCATAAATTAGCTGTTTTATTTTACAATTTTACCTATTTTAACTTTTAGGTGATAAAAAAAACAAAAAAAGTGCATTAGGAATTTCTTTAAAAAATTACAAATCCAATGAAAAATATCCCTGCTTATGTGTTATACTTAGTATAGAACAACTAGATGATACCCACCAGGCAACATTATTCGTATCAAAATTATTAAGTTTTGGAATAAAATTTTTCATGGCAAAGAACACAAATATTCAAGTATTGCATATAATGTAATGTTACATAATGAATAAGATAAGATAAGTTTTATTTCAAGTCGCAAGTTAAAAACAGTAAGAAAAGATAAGCTCTAAGGGCTTTTATAACCGACTGTATATAACATATAATATCAATCAAAGGGCTGCAAGCTCTGTGGTATTTTCTGATCTTTGCAATCTAAATCGTACTGTATATCTGTATTTTTTTTCCTGTATAAGTTGATTTTTGGCGTCCTCGGCGCAGCGCCTCTTATGGAATGAGAAAGGGCGACAGCAACTTCTCGAGCCTTTTAGTCGGACATAATAAAAGCCGATCATTCCGATCAGTATGAGGGCGGTCTGGAGACCGCAGGGTACGCATTGGTACGCGTTTAACTTTTGAGGCATGGAGAAGCACGTGACCTGTTTTCGGTACATGGAGGAGCATGTGATCTGTAAACCGTACATGATTGGTTAATTGACCTTTTCGGAAACCTGGATAAATACCGTTTGCCGGTACGTTACGGATACTCCTCTGGGGATTAAGACACCTAATTAAGAACAAAAAAACTATTACGTGATATTTTTAATTTTCTATAATTATGTTACCGTTTAAGGTGGAAAAACTTGAAAGATGTGTTTGAAAATTATCAATGTTTCTTTAATATGTGTAAACAATAAATTGTTTATACTGAAAATCTACAAAATTAAAATATTCGTAGTGGCATCTGCTATAATAAATACTTGTGTGTTTACTTTATTAATTTTTTTTGCTCGGAATTATTCATAAAATGGTAAGCCTATTTAATTTTTTTCTTAAAAAAGAAATAATTGTGTTATGTTCGACCTTCTCCGGTCATCAACGGTCACCAGTTTCCAAAGACCTTCTTCTATATTAATCGATTACTGTCAACTATATTCCTGATACAAACGTTTATTTATCCTCGCCCCCCCCACCCATTGAAATTAGTTAAATGAAATATATTTATATCATTAAATACGTTTTCCGCAGGAAACCATTTTACTTGTTATTAATCAAAAATGAAATGTCGCGATATATACAATGAATAGCGAACTGGAGAATTTCGCAATGCAAACATTTTCAAATGAAATAACCTTTTCCGACAATAAATCGCGCTCTTCGGGGTATTTTTATTTATCATTTTGTAGTACACAGTGGGTTATTATGGTACATGTATCCGAAAGCTGAATAGAATGATGAGTTGGTGACCTATATATTCCGAAAATCTATTTATAGAGGGATGTATTCCTATCGGTAATTCCCGGTCTCTCCTGGTCTATTTTGACCGGAATTTACTAGTGACCGGCGAATAGTACCACACGTTTATTGTCTGGTCTCTCCCGGTTTTGGAGTAGATGTTTGATATCGTTACAGAACAGAACAAATATTTACAGTTATATAAGTTTTTTCAAAATGAATGTTTGTCACTTAGTTTGGTTACAATTATTAATAAACACAGATCAACTCTCAAATTTATTGATTATTATTATACATAAACATACAATTCGAAAAAAAAAACAACAACAACAATAACATGTTTTATTTTATCTATATGAGATAAAAACAATAAATATGTACAATCAAAAGGTACATTTTTATGGTATTAATATGACACTATCAACTTTGTAACATTTTATTTAATTTGTTATTCGTGTTTAGTAAAGATGCCGAGGAATTATTCAAAGTTACAAATTAGATTTTATGAATTATTCAATTGATTGATAATTTAAAAAATGATAAAGAAAAATACAAATGTACATGTATATGTTTTAAGAATAAACAATATTATATATTAAAAGTTTAACCATAATTTACTGCCTTTTCCAGTCAAGTTTTTACTTATAATCGTCGGTCAATATGACAATTGAATTCTTTAAATAGTAGTAAACGTAATAACTCAGTATTGAAATAGCACATAAAACACAACAAAGAAAAGAAAACAATATTCATAAAATCTGTATTTTTTATTAAAATAGATATTACAATTATTGTATAATAAACAATTATGCTCAACATGATCAACATGGTAATGTAACCAGTGTCATATTGTTAGTAAGTGTGAACAGATACCTTTAGAGGGGGTCTTCGCTGATAGCAATAACATAATAAGGGACAATTACACAAGTGTGGTGTTGATCATGCATTACACATATGGATTATAAATGATTGTATACATGTATATCTGTTGCTAAAAAATCATTTATGTTCATTTTTTATGATAGCTGCACTTTATCCTTGCATATCGTGGCTATTTCCTTAACAAAGACACTAAAAAAAAGAATTTAAATTTTTTTTGACTCGACTGGGATTTGAACTCTAGACCTCTCACACATTAAACGAGCGCGTTACCCCTGCACCACGGAGAAGTTATATAAACAGAGGCTGAATAAAATCAAGTCATTCTAAATTTAGAATTTCCATAGCATTTCGGGTTAGGATAATTTCGAGGTATTTTGTTCAGGGTAAACCTGTTGTTTAAAATTGAAGTAAATAATTTAGCAAAAAATCTTCTCGCCCA